TCTACTACCTTCCGACGAAAATTTTCGTCGGAACATTTAATAGAAAAAATAAAAAAAAAGCCCCACCCACCACCAGCCCACCCCCTGCCCCCCTACCCAGCCATACCCCAGACCCACCTTAACCCAGACCCTTAACACCACCGACACCCACATTCTCACGGTCCGACCCCAATACCAAACTAAACTGACACCACCACAACCCCATCCCAACACCACCACAACAGCCCACCCACACCAAACCAAACCAACACCACCACAACCCCACCCCATAACCACCGACACCACCACAACAGCCCACCCCACCACCACCGACACCACCCCACCACCAACATTAACCCCAAAAAACCGGAAATAACCCCAAAAAAAACCCCAAAAAATTCAAAAAACCAAACTTAAACAAGGAAAATTAATAGAAATGTATAAATATATAATTGTCTAATAAATTTTATAAATTTTATTACAATTACATATACAATTAACTAGATCTAAACACAAACCTAAATTACAAGATCTACAATTGATGTTTAGGTTGTTGTTGATGAAACCGGAATGAATATATAGTGAATTAGCCGGCGACTCGGATAGATGGAGCACCAAAGCAACCGAAACAGTAGCCGCCGAGTCCAGCTCAATGATTCCAAGCCTCGTTTCGACGCCGAACCTCAGTCGTCCCCTGAAAATTCGTCGGGAAATCTGGAGCCGTTTATGGGTGTTAAAGCTTCGGTGAGTGAGGGGTTGCGTAGGGGTTGCGGTGAAAGAGGAGGTGAGGAGAGAGAAAGAGAGGAGGTGAGGAGAGAGAAAGAGAGGAGGAGAGGAGGAGAGGAGAGAGAAAGAGGAGGAGGAGAGGAGAAGAGGAAAGAGAAAGAGAAATGAATAGAAGGAGGAGATGGAAAAGGGGCGGGAAAGAGAAAGAGAAATGAAAAGGGAAGGGGGTAGGGGGTCACGGAATTCATTTAGGGTTTTGTTTTTGATTTTTTATTTTTTTTAAATAAATTTCCGTCGGAAAAGGCCTAAATTCCGTCGGAACTTTTCCTACGGATTTAAAACTGTAGGAAATTAATATGGTCCAACGAAATTTTTTCCCTCGGAATTTATTTCTTCGGTCGGGAGAAATTTTCCGAGGGAATATTCCGTCGGAAGCAGTAAATTCCGAGGGAAAAAAAATCTGTCGGAATATTTTCGAGGGATTTTCCATCGCAACTTATCTTTTCCAACGGATTTTTTTGACAGACCAAAATTCTATCGAAATATTCGAATTTTCCAACGGAATTTAAGTCCGTCGGAACAAATCAGTCGGAAAACGGCCTATTTCTAGTAGTGTAAGATAAATCAAGATTCGTCAATGTCGATAGACTTTGCGGAAACGGACCAAGACAAACATACTCATCACAGTTTCTAGTATCCCACCTTGACACACAGTGGGCTACAGTATTCCTCGACCTTTCAACATGAGAAATAGAGAAACAATCAAATAATAGCCCTCCACATGAAGTGACGAAGCTTCGGGGGAGCTCTCATAATCCAAATCAGTTTCCACGCCTCATCCCAGGTGGTGTCCAGGCCCAGCAGTCCACCTGATTTGCCAAACTAATAGCCCGAGCGCACACTATATTCACCATTTTTGTTCGTCCACCAATACATTGTATCCCTTGGGCATCTATTAGAGAGTGAAATGGAAAGAATAGCAGCCTGTTCAGCAGCAATAAAAGTGTTGTTTACCACTTCTACATCCCATGTATTGCTACTATGGTCGATCAAATCAATGACTCTCAAATTTGGATCACTGTCCACGAGGGTGTAGGAACCCACACGGATGTATTATCGGGTAGCCATGCGTCCCTCCAAACATTAATAGCACTACCATTGCCTACTCTCCACTTCAACCCCTCAAGTAGCGAAGATCTTGCCCCCACATACTCCTCCAAGCGTAGCTAGGGTCAAAACCCACACATGATTCCAAGACGTCACAATTTTTGAAGTATTTTTCCTTGAGGATCCTATGCAAAAGAGTTTCCGTATTGTGGTGAAGCCGCCAAAACTGTTTTGCTAGGAGAGCTTGGTTGAAATAACGGAGATCACGAAACCCTAACCCTCCCTTGCCCTTTGACTGACAAAGTAGATCCCACCTCTGCCAATGCAAGTTTCTTCCCGTATCCGTGGAGCCCCACCAGAATCTAGCCAAGAGAGAATGGAACTCATCGATTAAAGTATTAGGGATTTTAAAAATACTCATCATATATGTCGGAATAGCCTAAGCTACAACTATAATGAGTATTTCCTTTCCCGGTCTTGATAGCAATTTCTCCTTTCACCCTTGAAGCTTCTTCCATTGTCTCTCTTCAAGCCCTGCAAATATCACTTTCTTCGATTTGCCAATAATAGTTGGGAGATCTAGATATTTTTCATATTTTTCAACCTCCTGAACTCCAAGAATCTCAATAATTTCCTCCCTCCGAACAGTATTAACATTTTTACTAAAAGTTACATCAGTTTTGCTAAGATTGAATTTATGACCCGATGCCCTCTCATACTTGCTGATAATGTCAGCTATAACGGAGCATTCTTGCACATTAGCTCTAGCAAAAAGAATATTGTCGTCAGCAAAAAATAGATGAGAAACTCTAGGGGCTCCTCTGCATATCCTGGCACCATGAATGAGGTTATTTGTTGCCGCTTTATTCAATAACGTTGAGAACGCATCAGCACAAAGTAGAAACAAATAAGGAGAAATAGGATCACCCTGTCTCAACCTTCTGGTTAGAGTAACGGAAACTGATAGTTGGACCTTATGATCAATTAATATAATCTCTGAAAAGGTTTTTGACAAATTTTTCTTTATTTAAACATGGAGGGAGTATTATTACGTTTATTACCGTCTACTACAAAATTTGGTTGCAATGAAAAAAAATTTGTAATACATCATATCAATATTTACTTCCTCTAATTTTAACTGGATCCATCACTTTTTAAGTACAGACTCTAGAAGTGATTATAGAGAATTTATTAATTAAAAGGAAAGTGATATATTTGAATTGAAACTCCCTTTCATAAAAAGTAATGCATCTAAAAAATGGTGAAAGTATATTACTTGAGTAATCGAGTTTACCATATGTTTTACACTACCGTAATAAACTCTTAACTTTTGTTTAGCAGAGTTCAAGGAAGGGTATGACTCTGCAAGACGGCGCCATTTACTTGCTAGATTTACGCCAAGTCCTCTGTCCTATTATTCATCTCAAACAGAATTTCCACCTGGTGTAAAAAGGGCTCCATAAGAAATGCTCAATAATTTGTACGAGTTAATTAGCATTTAGCAATAATTAGCAAAAAGTGAATTTTGTAAGTAAAATATTCAAGTTTATCTCTTTGCAAATTAGGAGGTGGATACATGATTAAATTGATTACTTCACATATTTTTGTTTTGTTTTTTTTTTTTTTTTTTTTTTTTTTTTTTTTTTTTTTTTTTTTTTTTTTTGAAACAAACCCATAAGGGAGATTGCTTCACATATTTGATTTGCCATGGAATGTATTTTTCATTTCCAATATACTGTCTTTCAAGTTGTATGATAAACGAATTTTGTTTATCTAATGGCAAGTTTTAGTGTTTATTGGGTTCTAGTTATAAAGTTGGTGAATTGACGTCGTTAACTCAATTGTTAAAGCTTTCTTCTTCTTCATCTCACCCATCACCATTTCCTCTATTTCTGTCGAGTTAACTCCATTGAAGGAGCTTGAGATTCGATCTTACCAACCTTCCGCCGCACCACCACTCCACCGACAGCACCATTTGCCGCCCAATTAAACGAAAAACTCTATGTAAAGGGTGAAATCAAGGGCAAGGTCAACCCCAAGGGTAGGGGTATGGTGACCAACTCCTCCGTTGAAGATACTATTAAGCTTGATTTCCTCCATTGAAGAGCTTGTTTTTCTCAATTGTTAGTTCTGAAATTTCGAGAATGGCATTAACGCCTAAAGTAACAGATTTCTGGCGTTAAAGATATGAACTTGTAAAATGACTATGCTGCCCATAATTGTCCAAAAAACTTTACTATTTTAATCCCTAGATAAACAACTAAAGTTTATCACGAAGATAAACTTGTATTTTCTCGAGAAAATCTATATATTTTTTTTTTGTCCTCTATTTTTAGATTTTCTCTTTAGTATATTTATTTATTTATTTTTAAACTTTTACCATATTTTCTAGTGCCTCTATAATCTATACATTTGATTAACTCTATGTAGTGCACCAATTTCCTCATTATAATGGCTAACCAATGCTTCAATGGCTCATTATCTTACCTTAATGATTACAATAAAGACTAATCTATCCTTACAAAAACCTCTTTCATGATTAATCTTTTTGTAATTTATTTACTAATGTTTAATTATATATATGTTGATAGTCACATTAGTTCATTGACAGTCTGCCAAGTTTGACTATGTTAGTGATTATACAACAAGCTAATTATTTAAGCTTCATAACTTCTACAATTATAGATTTTCTTTTTCATCATTTTTGAAAGATCTCTAATCAAGAAAAATTTATATCAGGTTTCAAGTAAGCATTAACCATTTTAATTTTTAATTTTTCATATTTATTGTAAAAAAAAAAAAAAAAATTAATTTAGAAAAATTCTAAAACATGTCCAATCAATTTGATCTAAATATAAGCTTTGACCACATTTATCGTTCATGCCTTTTAGCTCCATTGAAAATCAGGTCTAATAAGTTAAGTTTAGATAAATCTAGGTGAAGAGAATACACTCTAGTAAATTCTCTCTTTCATTTACCGGAGTCCAAGGAAAGTATCTTTCTATCAGACGTGCACTTGTAGTTTATTTTTCATCACAACAAACATTTCCTCCTGGTGTGAAAATGGCTCCATAAGAAAATTTTGTTTTGCAGGGTTGTTTATCCGTTTAAGAGGAAAAATACCGCCAAATCAACCAAGTTTTCTCCTGGTGTGACTAGCAGTTCCAGCCATATTCCAGGGAGCCATAGGAAGGAAACACACGGATAATGTGTACTATGTTAATGGAGTACAATAAGTTCAGCAATGTACAAATGATACGATGTACTATAAAGTTCAGCAATGTAGAGAGTTCTTCAATTAAATATCCAAGTTTACGTACATATATTACATCATAGTTGGAACATTTATAAATGGTGCTTCATGCATCGAATTACGACTCATCAAATCGCAATTGTTGGTTACTCCAGCCTCAATTCTTTCATACCTACAATTGAAGTATCACAAATAAGGAGAGAAATATATTAACATAAGGTTAAAAGATAGACATAAAAGTAATTGGTAATTTAAAACTTTAACAGAGAAGATCTTACCATTTTCCATGTTCTTTAATTCAAGAAAGTTTTCATGAATTATGAGAGGATCATAAAAAGTGAAACCAATCTTGAGCACAAACTAGCATTTCCACCATATGGGGTTGTTTCTGCAAGCACAAGTGAGAAAGCACTCATTTCCAATAGGACACAGCTAGAACACCACATTCAATTCTTTAGCCGAAGAAGGTGATACATACTAGTGTCCAAACCAAATGAGCGTTACATAACACACATACATCTATGTTTGATTTTCAACATCAAATCAAAGCCGTACAGATTTCAAGCTGCGAAAGATTAAACAAACTCTAAACTTTAAACATTAGGCTTAAAGGACTATTTTTCAATCTGATCTTACTTCTCTGAGCCTAATGAGAGACCGAGTAAAATATTAATAAACTTCATATAACACATTACTTCTTGACACAACCGTTGCATTTAGTAGGAGTTCCTCAAAATTTTACCTAATATTGAAGAGTCTGTCCAGTTAAGTTGCTGTATAGCAAGCAATGGAAATGATGCATTAGTTTCTCGAGAGTGGGTGCATATCTTCCAGTATTATACGCAGGTGATTCAAGGCCCCTCTGAACACCTTCACAAAGCATGATATCTTCTATCTGCAGTTTTTACAGAAATAAAGTCAATGGGTCATTTCTAAACCCCTTCATTTTTTTTCAAGGTTAAGGGGGTCCGGGTAAGGGAGGATCATGAATATACTCTCAACAAAACTAGAACAGTTATCACATACCTGAACTTCTTCGCTGTCTTTTAGGCTTTTTTCAATGAAAACATTATCATCCTACAATAAACAACAGATTTATGAGCATACCCTGCACTCAACAAGTACATTCTAAGCAGATGTACCCTCTGATATACTGAAAGGATGAAATGTTTTTTAAAACACATCTTAGTATCGAAAGCCCAAATATATATACTATACTGCAGAAGTCACAGAATTTACTAGCATTTGTGATTTACTATATTGTCATTTGTCAGTGAGAAGGTTAAAAACATAGAAGCTTGTTTTTTATCCGCAATTGGAGACATTATAAACACAAGTAGATTATATTACTGCGGTCGTTGCTAGGACTTTCTTCACAGTTTGGTCTGAGTGTAATTATAGTCAACTGAGCTAGTGAATTTCTCAGTCATTATTTTTCCGTTATCTAAACATTAGAAAGTTAGCTCAAGAAATGGCTGTTCAGGTTGTGTAGAGATCAAGTTGTTTACTTTATCTAAGTTGTGCCACTTGGACAAAATCAGCAGAGTCGGATGCAGTTACATGTCCTGGCATCATAATCAACCATTTTAAGAACAGTTCACATGTTGAACAGCCATTTCAAGAAGTCACTAAATTAAGTGTCAAGTGTTATGTCTTCAAGAATCAAATACAAGTATTAAAGAGACATGAGAGTGCAACTGTCTAAAAATCAAGTAACCGGCATTAGATGATATCAATCCCTTTCAAAGTAGGTCCTAGATACTAGACCCTCTTCACTTTGCCCTCTCTACTTTCTGCCTAGTAGTCTGCTTTCCCTCCTGACATGACGGTCTTCCAAAGTCATCAATTGAGCAAACTCTTAAATCGAATGCTTTCATTTTTTCGTAAAATTAAAGATCCTCCAGAGATACACCTCAAACCCAGTGCTAATCACCAATACATGCAAATTGCAATCTCATATGAACAGAAATCCGGCATAATAGCCAAAATAGATCAATAAAATTGCCGAGAGCAACAACATACCTATATAGCCACTCTTTTTTGTTTTTTCTATTAAAGACATCTATAGGCACATAAATAGTAGTTGGATTGTTGGATTATCAAAGTTCATAGAAAATTGTGGGTGGTAGGGCAGCAACATACTCCTTTAAGTCACTTATTGAACAAAGGTAACATAAACTTAGTTTTCACAGGAGATTGGTGTCATATATCTCCATTATAAACAGAATATGAGTATAAAACTTCGAAGAAGAAATCTCACCTTCAACGACGCATCAAGAAAGTAGTCGAACACCACTTGGCATTTCCGTGGTCCCAGTGGGACAACAAGGTTAGTGTCCATCCAAGGGCCATACCTATTAAATTAGAAGTAAATGAAAAGAGGTGCAGGTCTCAAGGATTTTAAAACATGCAAGAAACTAAAGTTGTAAGAAATGAAGCCACATCAACTTCATAAATGAAAGACATATTCACCTGTTAATTATGAAGTTAGGATAAATATATGCATAGAGTGCTTCCGATCCAAGTCTGTCAAATTCACCACCACTTGCACATCTTTGGATGCTAACTTTTTCAAAAATCTAATGCAATAAACTAGACGTCAGATCAGATTTTAATATTATTAATTTATTATAGAATTCAGTTCCCCTTAATAACTTGCTTTCAAACAAAAATAAAGGAGACTAAAAAAATATTTTAGTAAAAATGCTATTTATTCTACTTATATCAATATATTTCTTGGGTGGCCTAGATAAACCACCTATGAAATGCAAGTAAAATCATATACTACATAAGAGAAATAATGACCATACTTCACTGCTGTATGTGTCCAAGTTAAGCCCAGAAGCAAGATTTTTGTGTGCATATGGAACATGATAACCACCATCCAGATAATTGTCACAAAATACCTGAAATAGGACAAAACAAGCAAGCACAAAATACTAACGCAAGTCAATGCAAAATGTAGTTGACCTGCAAAAGATATTTTCTTTGCATTCAGCAGGAAGCGAAACAAGTTCTGTGTCTCAAAGAGAAATTTAACTTGATTAAACAAAAATTAGGAGGGTGTTACGGTATCTAACTACAAGCTCAGACCTTCCAGTTACACTCTAAGGTGTACTCACGTCTACATATGTAACTCAGAGAGGTGTCAACTCCACTGGAACTAAGCAAGCCAGCTGAACTGCCAAGCCAGTCATTCTCCATAAATCCAAAATCAACTTCCTTCTCAGAAACACCTAGGTTGACAACAATAAATGGCCCCCATATAGCAACGCTTATGGGTACAAGCCCATACTCCTAAAAACAAGTTGAAAATTATTACAAGAAGAACATTAGGATAACATCAAGTTAAGAAATATTGCATACCTTCGTATCAAAATTCTGCAATCCTGTAATTCTTTGAGCCTTCAGGAGATTTCCCTCTAAGCCATATGTCCATCCCTACAAAATGATGCAAAAAATCTTTAAATAAATGGGGGTTAATATACCATTTAGATAAGAACTTTTTTGTTAGTCGAACAAAACTTTTTAATCACAAATTAGGAGAAAAAAAAAAAAAAATTGCCAACAAAAAGATCAATAAAATTAATAACAAATTAGACAGATATACATGCAAAGAAAAAGAGAATCACTAGGATATGTAGGTCAAAGTAACAAACTCTGTTAGAAGTAAAATTTGTTAAACGAAGATCTTCATTACATTCAAGAAGAAAAAATGCATTTGATCCGTTTACTGTGGCAAGTTTCACATCTGCCAACCTGACTTAACTTCTAGAAAGACATGCAAGCATTTATTAAAGTTGCATACTCTGGAAAATTGATTTATAATAGATTTGACAAGGTTTTCATGAAGTTTTGATGCATCTCCTGTAGCGGTGTCACTGGTACATCAATTGAGCCAGAGTGAAGCTCAGTGACCCATCCAGGACAAGGGAAAGGATAAGAGAAATTGCAGGGATGGAAAGTGGCTGAAAGAAGAAATACTAGTGGGAAAAGGTCTAGGAGTCAATTACTGAGAAGAAATCTTGATCAAGTTTCCTGCCTTGCATTGGTGTCTGAGGACCTAGCATTGACTGAGAGTGAAACATATTGTGATGACTTCATGATGGTTCCTATTACGCCATATTTTATAAATAAACTCAAACAAGCATCCAAGAGCATTAGCAGCCAAAATGACTTTGAAAGAAGAATATCAAGGAATTTGCCTAGATATTTTATATATCTCACTTTTATATTGGAGTGTTAAGTTAGATTACACTATACAACTACAGAAGTCAAAGTCCAGCACAGATAAGGATATAACAGAAATTTTCCATACGGGAGGACTCAATGATTTTTGAAGGAACCTAAATCAATAACAAGCAATCGATTTGTCGCAAAGTCTCTTCTGTAGAAGATAATTTACCACACCAATTCTTATATCTATGCTGAAAAAACCAGTTATGAGAGGTTTCAAAGTGGAAAAAAAAAAAATCAAAGTGGAAAAAAATAAATAAATAAATAAATAAAAAAACAACTGGCAGATGGCAGAAAATCATGTTGCAGATACTGAAGCTGTCATGGACATTGACAATATGTTTATGTAGCTAGTTGTGCCTATATGCAACATGTCTAGGAACACGTGTAGCAGAGAACTTTCAACCAGATATCTAAATTGTTTCGGGGTTTTTTGATGTCCTTCGGGAGAGTTACAATTCAAAGACTGACCTCTGAACGCCTGTACCTGCAAAACAACGAAGACTCCGGTGGGCGGGAGTTCCGCCTCCGACGATCAAGTTAGAACGTGCATGAGGAGTAGAGTGCGGAAAGTTAAAGGTCTCTCTCGGATTCTAAGAGAGTATCTGCAATGTGTAATTGCTCAGTTAGAGGTGTCAGGTGTCTGACTTTCCCTTATTGTGAGTTAACGTGTATTGAATGTTTCTGAATAGATGTTCCTAGGGGGGAAACATCTCCCTTTTATAGGGTGTTGGAAAACGTGCCCAGTACTAGGTTTTAGTAAACCTAGGGCTGACCGGGCTTTGCCAAGGAATTTGGGCTATAGGAGGCCATTTTCCAGATGGGCTACCTGTCTGCCGCGTGTCGATGCCCGTTTGGTCCACCTTGGACCTCTCACGAGGTGACATGTGGCAGACTCTGGTTGGTCCACGTGGCATGACTTGAGTGGTCCACGTGGCGGGGAAAAATCCCCAAATCATAAATTAGTGGAGCACATCAATTAGATATAAGATTGAGCCAGATAGCTAATTTTTGCAGCTAAACGTTTACTCTTGTGAATTGCCTAATATTAGGTTGTATTCATGGTTCTGAGTTTCCATGGCCAAATGTATAAGGACTATATGTTTGTTTCCATTGTTACAAGATTTAAGTACTTGAATTATACAAGGCCTTAGGCCCTCCCCGAGGAAACTGAAAAAAATGAAAAGTAAATACTATAGGAAACTGGGATGGGAGTGAAACTCACATGATAAGGGCAAACAAAGCAGGTTTTTCTACCACTTCCATAAGCAAGAACAGAAGCATGATGGCGGCAAACATTATGAAATGCATGAATTTCACCATCACTATCTTGACATATCACATATTCCACGTTCCCTAATCTGCCATGGTTAATAATAAATCTTAAGTAGCTTGTTTCCAGGGTGATAGTCAGAAAATCAGTAACAGTAAATCTGCTCCCCAACCCCACCCCACCCCACCCCCAACCATTACACACACACACACACACAAATGACAGTAACAAAAATTTGTACCTGCCAGTGAAATAATCATGAGGATTCTTTATCTGATCAATGCAACCTATAAGGTCAAGATAAAGATTGCAACATCATTACCATGAATTTATAATAAATAATGATAGTCATACTTCTCTACAGAATAAATTCACATACATTTTAAGGATGATAAGAAGAGTAAACACTTAAAGCCTAGACCACCTAAACTCTCTATATAGTACTTTCAATTTTCGGCTTGAAACACAGAGTCCTTTATTCATGGGTTTTGCTCATTTATCTCTGTATTGCTTTTGAATACACATTATAAGACATTTTTTCTCTGTAAAAGATAAATCGTGAAGTTACAAAACTGAAGGTGATTAAGGGTCTAGCTCAAGCTGTTTAGTAGCTTTTAATGATTCAATATTTACTGTCAACTTACTTATCGAAAGAGCTATATTAAGAATAAGTATTAAGCAAAAGTAGCCAAATGCCTACACTGTATATAATTGCTGGAAAGACCAAAATGGATATCTTTATGATTTCTTATGAAACTTAAACTACATCAATTCAGTTGCATTTTTTCATTGAAAAGGAAGTTATTGTTGACAAACATCGTGTGCTATATACAATATATTATTCTACATTGCGAACTTTTGCTCCATAGACAACTCCTACTATTATAATTCTTACCAAACAAACTGAACAGCAAAGATAAAACCAGAGACAGATACTACAGAGTATCATCCAGAATAGACGGATGCCTAATGACTTCCTCATAGACCAATAAGATCTAAGAAAATGGCATCATCCCCTAGTTTAACAGCAGCGGCTAAATTTGGGAGTTCTGAAATTCTGCATCCCGTACATGAATTCTCTTTTGCTTTTAAGGATTTTGGTCTATACACATGCTTAGCTTACCTGATTTTGCAAAGCTACATGAGCTTCAATTGTCTGCAAAAGCCCTAAATAACATAGGAAAATATCTACTTATTAAATATCATTTATACCAAGGAATCAAGGATACATCCTTCATTTTTAGACTTTCAGTAGAAACTAAATATTCCAGTATAACTCGTCAAAGAGGCAACTTCTCATACTCAGATATCACTGATTCTCCGAAGTTAATAATTCATTAATCCTAGAAGCCCTTACAACAGTTACAAGAAAAGGGAGCATACCCACATATCAGAAATAAGCATATATCAACCAATCTACACTATAACGCAAAACACCGACACTGTATCACGAACACAGACAAGATCACAGTCTTCTTCCCTCTACTATATTAATGTTGTGGGTCCAGCCCAAGTCTCACTAAAATGTATTTTATTTTGGTCCATTTTAGATGGCCAGTTTGCTTAGCTTTTTACTTATTGTGTTTAACACCAACTTGGGCATATTTTGAGGCTTGCTTAATAAAGTTTGGTAAAGTAATTCTTGCTGAAAAGATGTCAGCAAGTGAGGGTGAATATTAAGACAATATTCACAAAAATAGAGAGAACGACAGCAAGGGTTTATGAGCTTATTCATTTTCAGGTTTTCAGAGACAACTTCCAAAAAATTGTCTGTTGCCGAAAATTCAACCATCAGATCGTGCTGAAATTTTGTCAGTTTTTGTTGAAGACACATAGGGCCTCCTCATGGACAGTTAGATCGTCATATGAAGCTCTGGTTCGTCTGCTGGACAAACACCCTATGTTTTGGTGATTTTTACAGCTTTAATCTCTCAATGTGGTTTTTACTCTTCACATTGAAGGAATTTTTCATGTATAACTCGTGTGTATTCTTTGCAATTTAATCTATTATTGTCGTTCTTATACAGCATTTGTAGCTGATTTTTGTTGGTGATTAGTTGTTTTGATTACCTGGGTTAAGTGGATTGAATTGTTGGTTGGTTGTCTAGAGTGTGTGACATTGTGGGTGTCGTGGTGACTCCCTAGCTTCCCTACAATTAAGCCTACCTTACAAGCATACCCAATTAAGCAAAAATAAGGTTTCCAACATTATATATTTATATCCCATAATATCTTTGTTCTAAAAGTTCATTTTCAGCCTAGTTATCATCAAAATGACCCTCTACAAACTTAAGTTGGGCAATTCAACTTAACACCCATGTAAATATACCCTTTATTATTCAAGACTAAAATATTCTAAATAAATGCTTCAATAATAGCAACAACTTACGAATATGAAATTTGCAGACAATTATACAAGAATTTAACATGTTAAAAAAATAACAACAACAAAAGAGAGAAATTGGGTGAGGAATTACCTACTACTCGCCATCCATTGTAAAAGACACGATCAATTTCAAGGGAATAATAAGCAGGATCAAAATACCATGAACTGGGTGGAGTTACAGCTTCTTCAACAGGAATATTGGGATCAAATTCATGAACAATTTTGTGGGTTGATTGAATTGAATTAGAGAGACAATTTGTGAGTTTAATAGGTGTTTGATTTTTACAAAACGAAAATATTGAAGAAATTCTTCCTATTTTGGGAATAAAATTGGGATTATTTTCAAAGGATTGCAAGATGACATGATTAAGTGGGTTTTTGGTAGCAGTTGACATCAATATTGAGAGAGTTTGCTTGATTAATTTATCACTCTCTTAAGTACAAATGTTGTCGATACGGAGTAGATCACACTGATCACTTTAATACCCACTATAGAAGTAAGGAATTGTTTGGTTGGTTTTTGGGGATATTCGGAATGGAATGGTATGGAGATAATAGACTATTGTCACGACTCATGCAACACCCTTGTTAGAGTCAATGCGGTTATATAGGCGATAGGCAACAACTTGGGCATAAGCTCATGGGTGCTACTAAGCACCTTCTCCCTATAGAGCTTTATTTAGCTCATATATTGTTTTTCTAGTGAACACCGCATTGACAATAAAATAATATGGGCCTTTTGGAGGCTCAAATGGAGCTCAAACAGGCCCAATTTAGCGGCCCATCGTTTTTGGACCCAATGAACCTCATGTTGAAGTCGGTTTTCAAAGGTGGATCCACAAATGTCCATATTGCAATAGGAGGTTTAGGATACGCTTGGAAGCTTCTAGAACATTCTAGGATACTCTTGTACATTCTCTTAGTGCTAGAGATTTGTAGAATACTTCGGAATTATGTACATACGAGTTGTATAGCCAGGAGTTGTATAGAAACCTCTAGAAAAGATAGTTTCTAGGACCCTCCATTTGAGGAGGTTAGAAGGTTCTAGAGAAGAAGTCTCTAGGCACTTGGGAGCTCTATAAATGTCTTCCCCTTCATTTTTGTAGCATCCAAGCATTTGAAAGCACTCTCATTCTCAAGCAATAAAAGCTCTCTTAATAATCTTACTCTCGTGTGCATCCATTCTTACTTTCTCACGTACTTAAGTTTTCGTTGCATACTTTGCTTGCATCCATTCTTCCTTTCTCATGTGCTTAAGGTTTCATTGCATACTTTGCTATAAGCATCTTCGGAGTTAAGCCTTGACTAGAATTATAAGGGCAGGAAGTTAACGAGCGTGCATAGTGGGCGTGCATGAACAAGAATAGGGGAGTTTGTCTACATGTGACACTATGCTCTATTCTCCTACTCGTATTTGATTGATTTTTTTGGGATGGAATCTTAAAATACCCTAGCCCCTCAAAATCTCATATTATTATCCCCTCCTTGTTTGACTATGTTTCCAACATAAATTAAATGTTACGAGTAACTAGTTCTATTAGCAAATTTGTATTGGCAGAGTAATATATGAACCATGTTCACCCACTTAATTGTTAGTGGCTTATTTGTAGATAGTATTTAGTTTCATTTGCAAAAGCTATTTATATGAGCCTAGTATTTCCATTTTCTTCCATTAATGCAAAGAGTGGATTGTTTGTTTTCAATCCGATCCATCACTTCATTCCATCGAATTCGGCATCCTAACTAGCCTAATTTTGCAGGCCATGTACAAGATCAATTACTTGCATCCTCCATTAAAATAAGTGAAAGAATCCTCTGCCAAACAAGAAGAAAACCCCCAAAATCTTAGTTAAGAGAAGCAAACACATTGAGGAAAATAAAAACTGTAATGGACTCACTGCATTCCACCAACAGTCTACTTCAACAGACCAAGAAAACTTTTTCAATCAATGAAGAACAACAGAAATAAGAAGAGGCAGAAGAAGAATAAGATTAGGCAAGAGAATATTCTAGCAGTATTTTCAGCAGCAATATAGATAGATATTGATTGTAATAGAGCAAAAGTTTGCAACAGCCACTTTAGGTAGCAACTCTCCAAAATAGTAGGTTAGCCCACAACTTTCTACTATACACAATTTTCTGGACAAGAAACATAGTCTCTCTCTCTAGTCTTATTTATACAGAAATAAAAGTGAGATTTGGTTTGCTAAATTTGTCTTTTAGTGTAGCCGTCTTTCTTTTTGTGTTGCTGCTATCAGGTATTGCTGCTGCTTGTTGTGCGCACCTCATTCTGCTTGTTGTGATTGTTGTTGTCCATATTTATTTGCCAGTCTTTCCTTGCCACTTGTCCTGCCATTTGTTGTGTGATTGGTTAAGTTGTCGTGCATTTGGTTTCTTCTTCCTCCTTGCGTATGTAATTGTGAATGGCTAGTTCATTACACCTCCCCCCCCCCTAAACTTTTCACCTTGTCCCCAAGGTGGAACCAAGGGAATTGTTCGTCCAGCTTGCTGAATTCCTCTCCCAAGTAGCTTCGAATAGTGGCAGGTTTTTCCACTTGATGAGAACTTCAGTGTTCTCTTGTTGTCCTTCCTTCTTGTTTCTGACCTGCAGCACTTCTTCTGGTTCCACCACCATTTCTAGCTCGGAGGTGAGCTGCGGTGGGATGGTGATGGTGGACTGAGTGTCCCCTTCTGCCCTCCTCAGTTGTGAGACATGGAAGGTGGGGTGTAACTGGCATTCTTCTGGCAACATCAATTCGTAAGCCACCTTTCCCACTTTCCTTTTAATCTCATAGGGTCCATAACAGCGTGCTGCCAGCTTCTCATAGGGCCTTCGTGCTAGAGTTTTCTGCCTATAGGGTCACAATTTCAGGTAGACCAAATCGCCTACCTCGAAATTTTCCTCTCTTCTGTTAGGATCTGCAGCTTCTTTCATCTTCTGTTGTGCCTGTAGCAGCACCACCTTTAGCTCCTCAAGCATCATATCTCTCTCCTTCAGCCATTCCTCCAAGTCGTTCACCTTAGTTTCTTCGGCCCTTCCTTTGATAAGGGCTGGGGGGTCCCTCCGTACACCACTCTGAAGGGTGTTGTTCCTATAGACATGTGTGGGGATGTGTTGTATTAAAATTCCACCCAATGCAGCCACTTTGCCCACCCTTTCGGTTTTTCATTAGAAAAGCATCTAAGATAAGTCTCCAAGACTTTGTTTACATTTTCAGATTGCCCATCCGTTTGGGGATGGTAAGCCGTACTTTTCTTCAGGTCGGTCCCTTGCAAACGAGCTAGCTCACTCCAAAAGTGGCTCAAAAAAATTCGATCCCTATCCGACACAATGGATAGAGGGAACCCATGTAGCCGCACAATGTCCTTCACAAACTTCTCAGCAACTGTGTGCTGTAAACGGGTGTTTCAACCCTACAAAATGCGCATACTTTGACAATCGGTCCACCACTACCAGGATCGTATCAATGCCCCTGACTTCAACAGTCCCTCCACAAAATCCAACGCTATGTCCTCCCAAATCTGGTTTGGCACAGGTAAGGGTTGTAGCAAACCGGCTGGATGCAGCTGGGAGTGCTTGCACCTCTGACATATCACACACTTTCTAACCATTTCCCTCACATCCTTCCTCATATTGCTCCAAAACCATTCGGCAGCCACCCTCAAGTAAGTTTTAACCTCCCTTGCGTGTCCTCCCGTGGGAGAATAATGATATTCCTTTAGAAGGGTCGGTATAAATCTGGACCCCTTAGGTATGACCCTTCTTCCCTTGTAAAATAATTGCCCTCTTCCACCATGAACCCTCGGTTCTGAACCTCCCCTGACAACACCTCTTCTTTTACCCTTCTAATCCAGCTATCATTCTCAATCTCCCTATGGAGCGCGTCCCACTTCACCTCCTGAACCGTGACCAAAGCACTCAAATTTACTGGTTCTTCCTTTCTGGACAAGGCGTCTGCCACCTTGTTTGAACTTCCGGGCTTGTACTGTATCTCAAAATCAAATCCAATCAGCTTACGGACCTATTTCTGATAATCGGCCCCGATTTCCCTTTGCTAAGTGATGTAGCGTAGACTCTGCTGGTCAGTTCGTATCACAAAATGCCTCCCCATGAGGTAATGTTTCCACTTCACAACAGCTAAGCAAATCGCCATCAACTCTTTCTCATAAATTGACTTGCCCCTTTCCTGTAACCCGAGGACCTTACTGAAATAAGCGACCGGCCTACCCTCCTGCATTAACACTGCTCCCGTACCCCGAGGCATCCGTCTTAACCACAAATTCCCTCTGAAAGTTGGGCATGGCCAAAACAGGGGCTGAAATCATGGCTCTGTTCAGGTGTTCAAAGGTTATTGTTGCTTCCGCCGTCCACCCAAAATTATCCTTTTTTAATTGATCGGTCAGGGGCCTTGCAATCTGGGCATAGTTTAGCACGAACTTCCTGTAATACCCGGTTAAATCGAGGAACCCTCGTAACTGCTTCAAGTTCTTTGGTTGTGGCCATTCAATCATAGCCCGAACCTAGCTCTCATCAACTGCTACCCCCTTGCTAGAAATTACATGACCCAAATATGCTACCTCTTTTTTTTTTTCCGAATTCACATATTTTTTTATTTGCATACAAGTGATAATTCTGTAAAGTGGATAAAAACTACTTCCATCTGCTCTACATGAGATTTCTCATCAACACTATACACAAGTATGTCATAAAAGAAACTAAAACAAATTTACGCAAGTAAGGCCGAAATACCTCGTTCATCAGAGATTGAAATGTTGCAGAGGCATTGGACAGTCCGAACGGCATAACCAGGAACTCGTAATGTCTTTCATGTGTTCTGAAAGCAGTTTTGTGAGTGTCACTCTCTTTCACCCGAATCTGGTGGTATCCCGCCTTCAGGTCAAGCTTAGAGAAAACAGTCCATACAGCTCATCCAACAGTTCATCTATTACCGGAATAGGGAATTCATTCGGGATTGTTTCCTTGTTTAGGGCATGATAATCGACACAGAACCTCCAAGATCCGTCTTTCTTTTTTACCAATAACACCGGGCTGGAATAGGGACTAGTAGAGGGCTAAATGATTCCTGCATCAAGCATTTCCTTCACCATTTTTTCAATTTCGTCCTTCTGTATTTATGGGTAACGGTAAGGCCTCACATACTGGGTTAGAGCCTTGTTTGAGTGTAATGGCGTGTTCATGCCCACGCACGGGAGGCAGTCCCTCCGACTCTCCAAACACCTGATTATAAGTGTTCAAAATTGCTATTAAAAATCTCAGGCAGGCGGCCTTCCCTTCCCCCACGCTCTCCTCATCTCCCATCAGCCTGACTTCTACCAGAATATCCTCCTTCTCTTAAGCCAAGCTTCTAATCATTGCCTTTAGCGATATTTGGGTGGTCTTTAGTGTCGGATCGCCATGTAGCACAACCGGAATCCCACCTATTCAAAATTGCATGCGGTGAGTTCTCCAATTCATTAAGATGGAACCCAATTTTTCCAACCACTGAACCCCTAAGATGACCTCCACGCTCCCCAGTCCAAGCGGCAGGAAATCCTCCTCAACCTCCACGCCACCACTCAGTACCACCCGAACACCGTGGCAGCTCCCCCTACCGTGCACTACGGCCCCGTTGCCTAAGGATACCCCAAATTTCCCTTCACTATTGGTCACCAACCCTAACTCCTCAGCCACCTTTGCTGACAGGAAGTTGTGGGTTGCTCCGGGGTCGATCATGACCACCACCAGGTACCCACGAATTTTCCCCATCATTTTCATCGTCCTCGGATTCGAAATCCCGACCACATAACATAACGAGATCACGACCAGTGTAGCCTCGATCTCCGGGGAGTCGTCCGGCGCCTCATAAAACTCCTCCACCGCTGCTTCTTCTTCCTCTACCAACCTCACGCTCAACCCTTTGTTTTTATACACGTGCCCTACTGAGAATCTCTCATCACATTTGAAGCATAACCCTTTAGCTCTTCTCTCCTGGTATTCCTTATCTGAAAGCCTCTTGGGCTCACTCCATTTTTGGGTCCCAAACTGATTGGGTCAGCCCATGCTCACAGATGCTTGGGAAGACTCAAGAGGAGCCTTATAAGGGGGCTTGGGAAAGGTTGCTACTGAACCTGAGTAACTTCCTCCACTTGCACTAGGCCCACTTGGGTTCAGCTCAACAGAGAAAGACCCAGCCTTACTCACACTGAATCCTCCTTTTCTAGTCAGTCCAACCCTATTCCTTTCTTCCAGCCGTGATGCAAGCTCCAAAGCCTGCTCCAGGTTGAAGGGGTTCATCACCCTCACCTCAGCCTTAAGTTCTTCCTTCAACCCACCGATAAACTGAGCCAACATTACGGTTTCCGGAACGCTCGTGAGAGGGGATGCTCGCCCAATGAACTGCTTTTGATATTCAGCCACCGTTGTTGTCTACGACACCGCCATCCACAGTTCGTGCAAGGTCCCGGCGTTTTGCGGCCGGAACTGTTGTAGTAGGCGTCGTGTCAGGTCGTTCCAACTTGCCTATGGTCGCCGGCAGTTTTCCTACTGGAACCAGCGCCACCCATCCTCTTCCATCGCCACAACCGTTGCTTGTAACCTCTCGTCCTCCTCCAGCTTACAGAATGAGAAATAATGTCCTGCCCTCGAAATCCACTCATCCGGGTCCCCACCGCTGAAGACTAACATTTCTATCCTCCGATACTTCCCTCCGTTTCTCCCTCCGTGACTCCACTGATTCGCCTCGACGTATGTCTCACTAGCATAATCATTATTTTCTGGGATCGGGTTGTTTGGACCGAGTGGAGTTCTATGGTTCACCAAGTTTTGGATTTTAGTCTTAAACTGATCCATTCGCCTCTCCATTCTTCCCACCGAATTTTTCAAGGCTCGGGTCATAACTCCTCCAATGCTGGCTTCCTGTGCATTTAGTTTTTCCACTACTCCCGACAACGTTTCTTCCATATTTTTCATCTTTTCCTCCAGATTATCCACCCTTTGGTTCGTCGAGGTCACCATGGTCGTACCTGCTCTGATACCACTAGTAATGAACTCACTACACTCCACCAACAGTCTACTTCAACAGACCAAGAAGCTAAGACTCTTTCCGGCAATGAAGTACAACAGAAATAAGAAGAGGCAGAAGAAGAATAAGATTAAGCAAGAGAATATTCTAACAGAAATTTCAGCAGCAATATAGATAGATATTGATTGTAATAGAGCAAAAGTTTGCAACAACCACTTTAGGTAGCAACTCTCCAAAATAGTGGGTTAGCCCACAACTCTCTACAATACACAATTTTCTGGACAAGAAACATAGTCTCTCTTTCTAGTCTTATTTATACAGAATTAAAAGTGAGATTTGGTTTGCTAAATTTGTCTTCTAGTGTAGCTGTCTTTCTTTTTGTGCTGCTTCTCTCAGGTATTGCTGCTACTTGTTGTGCGCACCTAATTCTGCTTGTTGTGATTGTTGCTGTTCATATCTATTTTGCCAGTCTTTCCTTGCCACTTGTCCTGCTACTTGTTGTGAATCTGATTGGTTAAGTTGTCGTGCATTTGGTTTCTTCTTCCTCCTTGCGTATGTAATTGTGAATGGCTGGTTCTTTGCAAAACCCACGAAAACAAGCAGGTTAAATACTTAGCCAAAGAAATATGTTTGATGGCTAATGAGAATTTTGAAATATTAATTTTGGAATGTAACTATGACTTACGCTGTTACACATGTCTTTTTGGTTTTGTATGTGGATCGCATACTACTTAAAACAATTGGTCAAGTGATGGCTAATGAATTGTTTTGTATGAAAATCTTTGAAGAGGAATTAAGATGAGTACATCTTGGAGCTCAAAATTTTTAGAAATAAATGATGATTGAACTTATTTATGAAACTTATATTGATAAGGTTCTCAGATCACAAGGTTAAATATTAATACTCCAAAAGAGGTAACATGGTACATTGCTCATCAAGACATGGTACACACACAATACACATCAAAGGCTGATGAGATTAAGCGAATGGATAGAATGATATTCTTTGTGCACTATTGGCAAAAGAATTTGTAATCATGTAAGCAATTTGTATTTGTTATGCATGCTTCAGACATATGTGTATTTTTCAATCGAACATATCTTTATACTTCGTTATACTATATCGCGCATTATCTCATATTATTACAGGAAGGCCAATTTATACGTTAAAATACATTATCGAAGAAATTAAAAAAGGATTAACAACCCTGAAAATGTATTAGAGTGAATGATCGATATCAAATCTATAAAGTACATAAAAAAACGCACACATCTGACAATTTCATTCTATCACACTACACACATACATGCATACAAATAAAAGTACTCCGTACTTTGCTCCCATAGAATAGCCAATAGTATAGTTTTACAGGACAAGGTAATATGGGTCACAAACACCCCAACTTGTACTACATTATCATGTACCAAACCACAAAATCTTGTATACACATATTAGAAATCCAAACCCCTATAATGTATGTATATACATTATTTCGACCTTTGGAATACTTTTTCGTTTCTTCTTATCGGGAGCCACAAAGGGTAGTGATATGATACGTCGTCATGTAGTGGACCTTTAATTTGGCATGTGATCATACATGACCAAATTCATGAAACCACTAGAATCATACTACGTATATATCCCTTTTATCGAAACTTAGAGAAATAGTTGGTGAAACTCTTGCGAGGTGACGAAGAGAAAAACCTTTTTGGAGAGAACATACCAAAGTTATATCTTGGTGAAGCAAGAGCATCAATGGGGCGATACTCTGGCAACACAAACCCTCGCTCGATTTCGTACGACCTTCTACCAGGAGTTGCATTTCCATTACCATAAAAGTTCCCATACTTCTTAAGGTTCTTAAACCATGACTTCTTCTTAGGAGAATCTTGATGATAACCATTAATTTTTTCGGTCATGTATTGCCTAACCGCGTGTAATCCTTGCTCCATTACTTCTAAGGGAGGTGAAACCAAAGGGTTTCCTTCAACATGAAGCTTCTGAAGCTTCCGAAGACACCCTAATGAAGTTGGAAGTTCCGATATCTTGTTGTAGCTCACGTCGAGCTCTACAAGTGACATTAGAAGGCCTATAGAGTAGGGCAATTCGACGAGGTATTGGAAGTTCTGGCTTACATTGAGAATTTCTAAATTGATAAGGTTTTCTAGGTCTTCTGGTAGCGAACGAAGGCAATTGAGACGTACGTCTAGCACACGTAACGACGTTGCATGGCATATCGAAAATGGTAGGAAGGCAATTTTGTTTGAGTTTACTGAGAGTTTCTTGAGATTTAAGAGCTCAAAGCCAATGGTGTCTGGTAAAGAAGTAAGTTTGTTGAAGTTGGCATTTAGTTCTTCTAGTAATCTGTTCTTGCAAAAGGAAAGAAAACGTTAGAAAACAATAGAAACATGCATCTAATTAAGTTAAAAGATTGTAATAAATAATTGAAATGTTATACAATTACTAACTTTACATTGGACTTAATTAATAAATTTACTTTCTTCACTTTGTACGATGTTTTACTTTAAGCAAAACTTTTGTCGAAACACAACAATCTTGTACTTACTATACATTACACCATTAATTTTAAATTCCATAACAAATTAGTGTGGATAATATCATTTGATATATGTTCTCCTTGCACATTAAATATTACTCTGTATCATTATATAATGATTTTGTAGCGAGCAAACACTTTCGTAGCAGTTGATGATACCCCCATGTTTTTAAACAATGCTTTAGAAATTTAATCAGCCGACCTAGCTACCTTTTTTTTATTTAATTTTTTTTTTTTTTTGAAAAGAGCCGACCTAGCTACCTAATGACGGCTTAATTACAATTCCATTATAATCATTAAATTTATATTGTACTAATTTTATTGCTCTAGATCATGTGGCCACGTTAAGCTCAAATATAGTCAAGAACACCAACATGTTATAATAGAGGAACAAAACAATCAACATGACAAACTATACGTCGTTTTCTAATTTTTAGATTATTTTCCAAATTTTCAAATATACAAAAAATGACAAAGGGAAGAAATTGAGGAAATATAATGAGTAGATATAATTGAATAGATAATGCAAGACCAAATGAATATAGAAGTATCTATGTAACGTGATTGACCCACCTAATCACATACATATCTATCTTTGTAAATGTAATACAGATTCTTTTATGTAAAGAAATGTTTATACAATCTATACTAATAACTACTAAGCTTATCTGTTAAAAATATAAAATATAATTAAAAATTAAATTATTCATCAGCTTTATTATTCCTCTTTTCCTATTCATGCATATTTTGGGTAATGATTGAACTTGTCAAAAGAAAATTCTAAGTATTTCATATTCTTTGAACATCAATCTAAGAAAAATGGGGAAAAAAAATCTAGCTATATAATCTATGAATTTTTTTGGTTTCTCTTCTATACAATTAAACATGTTTGAAATTTCAATAGTCTTTTTTTTTTTAGTTATTATTATTATTTTTTTTAGTAAAGGAGTTGGAACTTTATCATTCCCATAATAATATAAATATTGGTATTGAATAATAAGGTATAAGTATATTTCTAATAAACCTAAAATTGTAAGTTCATGTTTACCAACTAAAATGGTTTATGTATCCCTATTTGATCATTGGCAGTTAATTATGTCCAATTTAGAATAATTGTTCTATTAACCTAATATAAATTTAACTTATTTAAACTTACCATAACTTATATAAACTTATTAGACCTTATTTTAGTTGTAATTTGAACACGGATAACCCTTATTAACCTTTATCAAATCTTAATTTTTAGAATTCATCTTATCTGAAAGAATGAGTTTATTTGAATTGATATAGCTTTATTTTTCTTAAAATAAGTAAAAATGAAGTTAATAGAATATGACCTTAAAGATTGATATCTTGATTTTACCTTGTTTGAAAAAACTACTACTAAACTATTCAAAACTTCGAATTTTATATTCCACGAAATAAGTAGAAAATATCATTGAAGGATATCGAAGAATATTATTATTATAAACAGTCATGGTCGACGGTTAACACTAATCTTCACCTTAATGAAAGAGATTTGATCAAAATGAAGCATTAATCGTGCAAGTTAGTTTTTTTATTACTTCATATATTAAAGTATGTTTCAACAATAGTTAGATATTTTTTTTTAACATCAAGTAGGCTATTTTAAAAACGTACTTGTACTATTGTACGTCATATATAGAGTACAATGAAGCCACAGAAGGTTGATGTGGACATTTTCATTACACCCTAGATTTATTCTAGTCGATCCAACTCAATTTCTTGTATAATTGGTAAGATTTTCAAACAATAGTTTTCTTGGTCAACCCTAATTAAAGGATGTATATAATATAAGATACACAAAAATACAAAATGAGGTGTACAAGATAAAATGTCGTGTATACTACCAGCAATGAGCCTGTCATAAATCTTAAAGTAACAATTTAATTAAGAAAATGGCTCAATGAAATCTTAAGGGCTAGTCTTTTTTGGACCGTTATTGTAAAAAAATAAATAAAAGAAATCTTAAGGGCTAGGAATAGATACTCTTTAGTAAGTAAAAAAGAGAAGGTATTTTGTGAGTTCGGATTCACAGTGAGATAACTATTAGAAGTTTTATATAAGTTTTTGAAAATTTTGACTTTTGAAATTTAAATTTTTGAAAATTTCATACAAGTCATTGAACAATATATATTAGATTTAGGGTAGACCCACTATGAAACGGCCTCACCCAATACTTTGTGAAATAGAAAGCCTAAGTTTACTTTATTAGAGAGATTGTTATATACACTCAGGTGCAAGGTGAATCCAATGATATTTTTTAGTTGAGTGCACCTTGTACCCGAGTGTATAAAAAATTTCAATTTTGTGAAATTCTTCTTACTATTTATTTCATGTCATTTTATAAATTGTTTGAATTTTTACATCCTTCATCCTTTTATTGTAAAAAAAATGAAGGTACGCGTATAATTACCTCAACTTGAACACTTAATGGAGCTATTTTTTTTTAATTACACTATTGCTCTCAAATTTAACTAATCACACCTTATATAACTCATGCATTGTTATGTTTTATTCACCTTATTTTCAATAATTACTAGAGAAATAAGTTTTAATAAGGATTGATAAATTCAAATAACATATATATTTAAGAAAAATAAGTTCAGATATATAAATTCTAACAATGGTTAATATGGCTACCAAAGTTCAAGTAAGTTCCTATAAATGAATATTAGGTGAAAGACATGTACCCGGCCTTAAATTACTTTATTTATTTAATTTCCTTGATATACTCAACTCTCAATTACTTTTCAAAAATATGATTAAGGCAAATAAATCCTTAAATTAATGATAGAAGGCAAATACAAGAGACTTAGCTACAATTTATAAAATAATGATTTTTTTAGCTACAAGTAGTTTGGTTGATAGAGAAGAGTACTTATTAGGTATAGAAAATTAATGAAATTTATCGTTATCGATGATTGATGATTGACTATTTTCTCAATTATTTGTTAATTACAATCATACAAAGTGTAGACAATTCTCCTACAACTAACGAAAGTAGAGAAAGTTCTTGTTGGATAATCTGATTTGCTGGCTCCTATCAAATGGAATCAATTACATAAAGAAATAAGAAATACGACATTAAAAATTCTTGATAACTACCCTTTTCATAATGAGATTAGATAGAGATGTTAAAATTTGATTTTAGAAGATCATGAGTACCACGGAAACTCGATCTCGTGTAAGATTTTGAATTTTCTTATGAATCCAATTATTACATCGCCATTATATAATTAAATAATGGAATTCAAGTATGAGTATATTTAACATAACAATTTAATTACTTAATCAAGTAACTTAGTTTTAAGGCTATTATAAGGTTATTATTAAATTATTTTATAACTTTTTTTATGTGTCTCAAATGATCCAATAAATTCTTGCTAGGAAATAAGCAATAATTCTTACATCTCTAATATGTATATAACCTTAGAAAAAGCATGTCAAAAGGATTTTGGGGCAACATATGTGTGACATGCGCTTCTATAATTCAAAGTTGTCACATATTGACCCTAGTGCATATACAAGGCGTACAAATGTACCTTTAATATTTTGTACGGAGTACAACGAGCGTAATAATACATTATTTTCTTTCTATAAAGGAGTCCCATCAAATTTTAGTCAATATTCTGCCACTATAGAAATTTTTTTCTTACGTAATAAATCGCTTAATATGATTAACATGACATCATATTATTTGAGATAAAACTATCCTAACTTTTATGTTGTGAAACTTGTGATGCTTGCATTAATTATGAGTTTAATATCAAAACAAAGAAATTGAAGAAAAAAAAATGGAAAAGTAGGTGAAGAAATTAACCTGCAATTTTCGATGGTTCTTGGAATGCAACTTAAAAGGTTACCAGAAACATTTAAGATCTTGAGCTTTGATAAACAACCAATTGAATTGGGAAGAGAAGTCAATTGATTTGAGTGCACATCCAATACTACCACATTCAGCAACCTTGCTATCATTGACTCTGGGATATTCTGTCAATATTAAATTGAATTTCAGAAAAATCAAAACAATAAAATCAATTATTTATTCCCTTTCAATTCACTAATTTGAATTGAGAAAAACAAAACAAAAAAAAAAAAATCAATTAATTATATATACTATCAAAAGTTAAATTGATAATTAGCCAATTAAATTAACTAAACCTAAGGATACAATACCATTGTTTCAAAAACTTTGAATAAGGATTAGAAAGAGATTGTTGACGTCTAATTGTTTGGAATTGTTGGAATAAATTTAAACGACGATTGTCATTAATTCAAATTTTAGCGGTCATCATATAAAACAGAAATTGATACCTTTAATTTCTAGATAGTGACAAGTTTCATCTTGTATTACACTAAAAAGTTTAGACTTTTATGATAAAAGGGAGAAAATTGCTTAACCTTTTCATTTTCGTGAACATTTAATACGAGTAACTTCGTTTTGGTTGGGGCAAGAAGGTTCTTGAAGTGTGAAAGCTTCACTAGTAATACAATATAATGTCGTTTACATACACCACTGCCTAAGTTATCGTATCTATCTATTACATTAACTTTAAGTATTAATATCTTTAATTGTTAATAAGTAAAAAATATAAAAGATTGACATTTTAATAATATATACAAAATTAATAAACATACATATACTATTATAGAGGTGAGTAGCTTGTTACATAATGCAAAGTTGTTAGTTCAAAAAAGGTGCACTTGTACTTTGCACTAAGAAGCAATTTTCACTCGACTTAAATTAAAATTACTTAATACATCGTAAATAATATAAAATACTCAAACAAGCCAATATGAAACAAAAATTATGAAGTGCTATTATTTTGTCTCTATCCAATATAAATATCATCATCTTTAAAAACTAATAGTCTTAGGTAAGCAAATGGTTAAAATAAGTAAAAAGGAGGAGGGGTTTGATAAGCTTATCATGATATGCTACTGGTCTTTTTCTATTTATTGCCAATTTAACGATTTTTTTATTACAATTAAGATGGTCCGCCCCTTATTTCTCATATCGTTATTTTTTGTTCTTACTATTTTGATTTTGTTTTTCCTCATCTTGGTGTTTATAAATTTTTTTCAAATCTAATTTTGTTATTAAAATAATTTCATTCTTTTAATTAGTTCCTTTCTACATACGGACTATCTAATGATTTTAATCTACTTATTTTGAAGAACGGAGTATAATTTTAACAAAAGTATATGTACATTTTGCAGATTTTTTTGCGTTGCTAAAAATGTCTACTTCTGTTATTTATTAAAAGTAAGGACTAAGGAGAATCATTAACAAAAAGTGAAAATTGTAAACATGCAACAAAATAATGCGTTTTTTTAAAACTAAAATGTCAAAAAAAAAAAAAGCCGAAAAACATGAATCATTTTTCGGGTGAATAACAAGAGACTCTCGATGACAATGTCCCAAAAAAAAATAAAAAAAAATAAAAAATAAAAACAAACTGTACTCATTTATTTCAGACTCAGAGTTCTACCAATATAATCATTACTCCAATTCTAATATTATAGGAGTAAAATATATACTTATAAATTATAAACTTCAACCCAAATAAAAAAATATTATATAAATAATACTTATAATAACAAATTAAAACTAAACAAAACAATAGGAAAAATGAAGGAGAAGAAAAGTACCTCAAGATTATTATTGGAAAGATCAAGTTTCCAGATAGCAGCAAGATTAATAGAAGGATTAGGGAGAGAATCAAGAGACCTTCCACTTAAATCAACCATCTCAAGCCTTTCATTTTGATCATCATTCTTCTTACTTGTATTCGTTTTATTATTATTATTATTGTTATTGTTATTGTTATTAGTCGCTAATGACGATCTTGATCTTCTGAAATCCTTGACACTTTTACCATGATTAGTATTACTAATAGTATCACTATTAACAGTAAAACTATTCATTAAGTGATTCTTCCTCACATCTAATCGGGCTTGTTGATGCCTTTCGTACATCATTTCTTTTTGTTTTAATAATACTCACACTCTCGAAATATTCTTCACAAGACTAAGAGTTTGAACATATAGAAAATAAAAAGAAGGTTTTTTTTTTTTTTATTTGGGGGTAAGAAAAATAATGGGTGTTTTAGAAATAATGATGGTTAAAGAGTAGAAAGAGGAGAGCAATGGCTATTTATGGAAGAATGTACGGAGAAAAAGGAAGAGTACAAAAAAGGATAGATTTATAGACACGTGTTGTTGACGTTTGAGCCGTATGGGAAAAAGCAAAATCAAAGTACAAAAGGCTAGTACACATTTATCGTTTTCTTATTGTTTTTAGGTTTTCATTAAAATAAAATGATTTTTCTACATTCATAGTTTTCATATATGAATAGTGAGAGGATTAACCCAAAGAATGAACAGGTAAAAACACTAAAAAAAAAAAAAAAAAAAAAAAAAAAACTCGTGTCTAAAAGTTTTTTCTGAATGAAAAGTAATCGTTGATAACAAAAAGTCAGAATAAGAATTTTTAGAGATGAAGGGGTGTTATCCCATTCTGATTTGAATCATTTGATTTATTTAGAGTTAGGTGTATCTATATTTAATATTGTAATTTATTCATTTGGTGATTCGCGCTCCATATTAATTTGAAGATTTGATGTAAATGAGAAAATCCTTCGAATTTGGTAAAATTTGATATGGTTTGATATTGATAAGAACAAGTAATAAGCTAATGAGATAAGGTGAAAGGAACTTAATATTAAACAATAAAATAGATTTTAAATTTAGTTGAGTATGATGAAATGGAATGATAGAGTATAATCATCAATCATTAGACTCTAATCATCATCTTATATTTTTGGTTGATGTGGTCCTTAATTGGTTAAACATAAGTATATGATCTCGTATGATTGATTATATACTCTATTATATCATAACTCCTCACAAAAAAGCCCTTGTGCATATTAACTTAAGTGTAGATCAAATGCAGTATAGCCTCCTAAGTAGTATGTTGGGTGTGGCCCAAATTTACTAAGCTCATGTTTGTCGGAGCATTTGTGCATATTATAGAAGCTTTCAGAAAAATCAAGCAATGTTAGTTCCTGGTCATGTTTTCTCTAAAATTATCTACTTCAATGTTCTTAAAGAATTCTTGAACTTGGAAGCAATTTGAAGATATAGTTCGTGAACATTCTAGAATCTAATATTATATATATAAAGGGGAGTTTTTTCCCGAGTTTTTAGAGCGCCACGTAGTTTAAAAAAAATTAGAGCGCCACGTAAGATTATGATTTTTAAAAAGAGTGCGCTGCGTAGAATTGTGATTTAAAGTGTGTCACGTAAGATAATTATTATCAAATATAAAAAAAAATTAAAAAAAAAACACTAATCCTTATAGATTAATTTTATAAATAAGATAGATTACGGATCATCAAATAAAAAAAAATCTTAATAAAAATAATCCTCTTTGACGACATTATAAATAAAGTACAGAGATTTAATTTTTTAAAAATGCTAAAGTTTAAGTTGAAAGGAAGATTTCCTTAGCTCCTAGGCGCAGTTTGATTTCCTTAGCTTTTATTTTTTCTTATTATAATATAATTCACAATTTATATAAATAAATTCAATATTTTATTCTTATCATCTCATCATAAAACAACTTGATTTCCTTAGCTTTTATTTTTTCTTATTATAATATAATTCACAATTCAGTAAGTCTTATATGTAGCCAGTGGCGGACCCAGGAATTTCCGACTGGTGAGTCACAATCGATAATCAAATATGTAAAATAAAATTTCACAATGACATGTAAGGAGACATTTACTTCCTAAACTTGAAAATAAACAACACGATTGGAGACCAAATTAACTACAACGGATGTAGCCTAAATACATATCAGTCCGCAACATGTTTTACAGGATGATCAATAATTTTGAAGCAATGCCTCAAGGCGTAAAAGCAATCCTTTTTTGGCACTTCAATATGATTCAAGCATATGATCAGGAATAAACACGAATAACAATTGATTCACAATACAAGTATACAATATTCCCAGCATGAAATAGACTCAAGAATTACAGAAATTGCCCAAATTAAAACCAAAATTACAGAGACTCACCCATATCCAGGCAAATTAACAATATACCAACTCTTGTTGATTAGAAAATGATTGATAAGCTGAGTCTTCCCTGCATATAAATTCAACAACCTAATCAAACACAAAGTTAACAAAACAAAAGAAATCACAAGAATGAATCATATGCAAATAACCCCAACAACGAATTACCCCTATTCATAATTGGTTGGACGGTTCATATTCAACTAAATCAAGCAATATTCAACTAAATCAAGCAATATTCCCCAGAAAAATTATTTACAAAGATCATCCAAATAGAAAATTGACAAGATTACAATACTAACTAATAATTAAAAAGCTTAAAATTGACAAGACTAAAATCAACAAACTAATATCTCCACTAGTCTATACGGAACTTCCAGCCGAATATGCGACTAGCACCACTAAGCACTAACCAGTCCAAACTGTAATCTAATTATAAATTTATAATCCTCCTTACACTAATAGTTTAATTGTTGTCTTATACAATGTTCGGCATCACATATTCACAATTTCACATAATGACATAAACAGATAAACTAATAAGTTCAATTTAACACTCGAAACACAATTTGCACAAATAATGCAAATTCAATGAACATTCACCGTATATACTAATTTTAAGAGACAAGTAATGCAAATTTGATAAAAAAATTCACAAAAAAAAAAAAAGAATCAATTGATGATTACCTACCTTGCTAGGCGGAGGCGGCAGGCGCTGAATGATTGAGGCGAGCAGCGGAGCACGCGGAGCAGCACTGCAGCAGGGCCATGCCCAACACTCAGCAAGACAGCAAGTCAGCAACTAGGCACTGGAGCAGGCGACTAGGCGAGCAGCAGAGGACAGAGCACAGCTGCACAGAGCACTGGAGGCTGGAGCAGGCGACTAAGCGAGCAGCAGCCAGCAGGCCAGTAGCACAGCCAGCACTGGAGGCGTGAGCAAACTAGCGAAGAGCAGTAGATTATGAACAATTAGTCAATTAGGGATTGAGTTGATAACTAACATTTTACATTTCACAAATTCACAATTAGGGATTTAGGGTTCAAACATTTCACAAATTCACAATTCAGATAATGCAAAATTCTCTGAAATTAAGTTGATTATTGAACAATTAGGGATTTAGGGTTCAAATTTAGTATTACTAAATCATAATTCATAACTAACAACTAACAAGTAATATCAACAATTAAATAAATAAATAAAAAAAAAGCTGAAAGATGAGTAGATGAGTAGATGACTAACCTGAAATTATGCGAAGAGGAAGATGAAGCGAACTAGCGAAGAGGAACTGAGGTCTGAGGAAGAGGCGAAGAGGAAGATGCGAACTTGCGAAGAGGAAGAGGCGAACTGGCGAAGTGGGCTAGGGCTAACTCAGACGTTAGAATTTTTTATTTTTTATTTTAAAAAAAAAAAAACTTAAAATTTTTTTTGGGCCCTGGTGAGTCACTTGACCCACTAGGCACAAGCCCAGGTCCGCCACTGTATGTAGCTAGCCACACGGTGTGGTCATATTTAGTTATAAGAGTAATCTTCATTTATATGTATGAGTAACCCCATTTATTCATAAAAGTAGCCCCATTTTGTCCATAGAAATAACCAAAATTCATTACACGAGTAATATGAAGTAATTTAAAAATAAATAACATTATTTGTTCATTCGAGTAACCTCTACTGCTTTGTTTAAAAAATAAAAGAATGATTCCTCTCGTTTAAGAGAGTAACCCCCTTTTCCTCATTTAAGTAACCCACATATGTCAAGATAACCCCTTTTTTTTTATCACCGTAACCCCTATTACTTAATTAATTGTCTTATATGTGAAGTGGTTTGGCTTGCCACATATAAGAATTTGTGTTCACAATTTATATAAATAAATATAATATTTTATTTTAATATAATAAATATAATATTTTATTCTTATCATCTCATCATAAAATAAATTACGTTTAATACTCAATTTATAAAGTGCATATTTTTTCCAAAATTATGTTAAATATTTGTAATTATTTGTTAAAATATTTTTATCCGAATTTTTTTTTGTCAAAAGTAAAAATTATTTGTAAAAATATTTTATCTTAAAAAATTACAATTTAATAAATGATAAAATTTAAGTTGAAAAAAAAGATATGATTTGATTTCATCAACTTATGATTTTTTCTTATTATAAATAGGCATTAATTTAATTCATGAACAAATGTTTGTATTATTCCTTAAATTATATTCAATTTTTTCTTTGCATGGAATATAATATTATTAATTGAATTCTATTCATTGCATTGTTTTTTTTCAGGTCTATTTTGTCGATTCGAGAAATAATTCTTGCAAATATGATTGAAAAATTAAAGTACGTGTATCAAGATTTTTTGATGTTTTGAATTTTCGAAAACATAATAGTATGGTTAGTATGGACATGGTTTTAATTGACGAATAGGTATGCCTTTAATTTTCTTTTATTTGATCATACTAATCGTTTTAAATTCATTGAATAATATATAATATATTTTTTAAAATTCATTGTGTAAATTACAATATTATTTTTCATGTGAAAGGTGATTATGTCCATGCTTCAATTAAAGGAAGATTTGTCCAACAATTTCGTTCAAAACTAATTGAAGGCAAAGTTTACACGATCCGACATTTTTCTGTCGTACCTAACAAGAATGAATATATTGTTGTGAGCGATAAGAAGATAATGATACAATTTTTTCAAAATACAACTGTTAAGGGCGTTGCAGATAATAATGAAATTCCATTGCATAGATTTAATTTTGTTCAATTGCAATATTTAGATCAGCATGCAACACTTCCTGGAATATTTACATATTTTCCATTGTTATTATTTTGAAAATTCTATAGTGTTATAGTTCGTTTTACTAATCATTTTTTTTTGTTTTTTGTATATCACTTTGTTTTACCAGATGTGGTTAGTATGGTTATAAACGAAGTTGGAGATTCAATTGAAATAGAAGACTAATGATAATCATTAATTTAATATATTTGTATATATTATTATATATTATCAATCACGATAAACTAAGATTTATTATATAAAAACTTTTATATTTGATTTATTTTAGATTTATTATTATCAAGTTCTGAAATCTCTTGTCATTTCTTCCAAGCTCTATCCTCAACTATAAATATTGATCATAGGCATTCAATCAATACATACACAAGAGAAGCCACTTACTATTAGCCTTAGCTTTCTACCTATACACCTTCTATGAATCCACTATTCTTTTTTGTACTACTCCTTTGTGAGTTTCTTTTAAATAGTGAGAGCAGAGGGGATCATTCAGGCCCGGCCCATGATAAATTACATGATTGC